TGACAGTAATTCCTAATATCTTATTCTTGGTTTCTTTTCTCTAATTGTCTGAAAAATGCATTTTTATAATCGGTTTGTTAGAACCAGATTCCAAACAAGGCTCACACTGTATCTGGTCTCTAAGTTTCTCTTAATCTTTAACAACGCCTCTGCTTTTTCCCTCCCTTACCTTTTTTTTTCTTTTTTAACTGAGTCACCTATACATACTGTAGAATTTCCTCCATTCTGTATTTGGCAGATTGTAATGGTGATGTTTAACTTTTCTTGTCCTCTGGATATATTTAGGTCTGTAGCCTGGTTAGGTTGAGGTTCACTTTAGGGGGGCAAGAATACGTAATAAAAAATAACCTTTTTTCACCAAAGCGACTTTTACCCATTTTTCATTAATATACAAACATACTAAAAGATCATATGGACTTTATATAGAGAGTTAATTTATAGTAAGACTAAATACCTTCTTTAAGATTTCAGTTGTGTAATGGATCAGCTAATTTTTTTTTTTTAGCACTTTCTGTGAATCAGGCTCTAAGCCTATTTCCCTTAGTCTCTACATACGAAGGTAAGTACTATGATCCTTGTTTCCCAAATAAGGAAACAGACCATGGAGTTTAAACAATTAAGATTATTCCATGTAGTGCTTTACATACAGTTAAATCTAATGTATGGATTTATGGTTTAATTAATTTTTCTTTTCCTTGTTTTGTGCTGCACCACAATTAGGATGCAAAAGTAAGTTATTAGATACAAAATTGTTTTCCTTTATCAAAATCTAGTGTGCCGTTTAATTACAAACTTGTTGCTAGTAATACCTGAAATTTGCCCTATTTGGTCCTTTTTTATTTTGTGATGTACAAAATTAGCTAGTTTGGGAATTAAAAAAATTTTTTTTCTGGTATGGCTGCTTTGTTTAGTCTTCTTTGACATTTAAAAATGAGTGTTCATTGTTACATAGGACAAAAGTGCTTTTTGTCCCAGAGCATTCTTTCTGAATATTGCTTCCACGGAAGGCATTGTTTGCTCTGGGGAGCTCTGGAAAGGGGAGTTCCTGAAGCCTTGCTGCTGGGGACAGTTAAGTCCAAAACTGAGTAAAAACTCAAGAGAGGAAGACATTTCTGTAAATGCATGTGACTCAAAAGAAAAATAAAAAAAGCATGGAAAACAGAAATATGTGAAGAATGGGGAGAACTTAGGGGGTTTTCCCTGCTTTTTGTTTAGGGGAGGCTTTGGATTTTAACAGTAAGATAACTTACCTTTCCTGTAGAAATGTTGGTAGCAATGATTTCCTAAATTGCCAGTGGGTTTGCAGTGAGTTCGACTGCTTTTTGTGTTAGCAGCAATGGAACCTAGCACGTTGGTAGGTTATCAATAGGTATTTAATGCATGTTGAAAATAACCTCCTGTGGTCTCTGATGTTTGGAACGTAAAATGCTAAATAGACAGTAGCTCTCAATAGTAAAAGTGCCATACGGCTGAACTACTTGCCTTCAGCGTTTTTCAGTGAAACTTGCATGCCCTTCTGTGTCGATTTCACATTCTCAGCCCTCCCAGGATCTGCTTACCAGAGTCTCACATTTTCCCTCCACAGGAAGCTGAAACCCCACGTAGTGTTCTTGAAGAAATTGGACTGACATAACTCTCCTCCCCTGTTGATGACTTCTTGTGGCATTTCACACACTGTAGATGGTCACTGCCTTCATGTCCATGTTAGCTAATGGTGTAAGATGACGTCTTGTCAGTATTACTGTTCTGCTAAGCTGCTTCATTCAGGCCTACACGATTTTTTTTTAAAGGGAACTTTGGTTAATCAAGCGATAACAAGGGACTTACATAGGAATTAGAATAAATGCAGAAAAAGAAAAGTAACTTTTCTTCCTGTTTTAAAGTTTATAGGTCTCTCTCTTAATCTGATTATGTGCATCTATGAAAATGACAAGATCAGGCAATTTATTACTTACTGTCTTTGGCAAAAGAAACTTAAATTATGTGAAACCTGATTTTATGAAACCAAAGACCAGTGCCACATTTCAGTATATATGAGAATAAAGGGAATTGACATGTCACATATCAAATGAAGGAAAATTTCACTGTATGTTGAAACTTTAAAGAAAAATAAATTTATACCAAAGACCCTTATTAGAAACTAAATACCTTAAAACAAAGGGAATACACAAAAGACTAAAATGGAATGATGCTGTTTTACACTAAAAATTGTTTAAAAGACTTCTGAACCTGGGACGGGGAACAGAGATCAGCTGTTTCAGTAATAGTAAGTATGTTATTTTTAAGGCCAAGGAATATTAGACTCCTGAGATAAATTTTTTGTGGTCATAATCATTTAGTCACTTAGTTGGATTATTTTTGATGCCCCCAAAATAAAACAAATGTTGAGTTACCAGGGATTTTTAGTAACAGTTTCTTATGATAAGTGTGTTATTCTCTTCACAAAGTGTTGCATAAGTCATTGTTTAAAGCAAGGGTGCTTGTTATAGCCAAATTTATTTTGCTCCCCTATTGCTTCTCTCCACTTAGAAATAGAGCAAACTTTAGGGCAGCTTCCTTCCCTTCCATGACACTGTCTACTTATCAGAAGTCATAAACACCACCTTTCATACGAAAGTTGAGTTGAATGAGATAAAATGGCATTAGTGGGCCCTATATTTTTTAAGGCTATACAGTTGTTTCAGTGTCACTTTTATACATACTTCTATATATGTAAACATGTCTTCACAGTTTACACTTTCATTTGTATGCTGGACTGGATTAAGCTTTGTTGTGATTGTGACCAATATTCAGGCCACGTGAGCATTGTCTTATGACATCGCAAATTAGTTATAATAAATGTTCAACGTACACCACTGCAGTGTGTTTTTATCTGTCTCTTTCCAAGTTTGTCAAACTATAAAGAGCTAAAGGAAGAATCTAAAAAATTTTTTGAGTAAAATGTTGAAAATTCACCTCCATTTGAATGTGGCGGTGGTTAAAAGCACACACAAGATAAATGGTGGAAGATTGAAGGAATCTTCGTGTACTTCAAGCTCATTAAAAAATAATGTGGAGTCCATGCTACTTATCTACACATTTATTTTCAATCAATAAATGCTGCTTTTAAAACCTTGATGCAGTTGACTTTTCTACTCTATGAATGAGCAACTTACATTACTCCAGATAATCGAAGGTATTCCAAATCGAGTGGAGTCTCCCCCATGAACTGGAGGTGCTAATACACTTGCTGAAATGAACTGGTATTTGCAAACTAAGGCCTAACATAAGTAGCAAATCAAAACTTTGGTTAACATGATAGTTAAGTGACTGCCCATTAACTACAGATAGAAATGCTACATACTAAAATAAGGTTTTCTTTAAGTATACTCTGCTTTTTGGGAAAAGCTCTTTATAGGAAAATAAAATAATAAATGGAGGATATTTAAGAACGAGGAAACAACTACCATCAAATGAAGTTGCTAGTCTGCTTAAAAAAGATGTGTGCAAAAAAAAGGGTGTAGATTTCAAGAGCCTCCAAACACAGCTATTTATTCACTGAAAACAGGCCTGTGGGCTTCTGCTGGTAATGTAGAGTTGGACTTCTTGAATCATAAATAGTAATCAGGTTATAAGCTTAAAAAACACAGTAAGTTTATTAAGTTCAAGATGGACATTTATCAGGATAATGAACCAGTCAATGGTTTAAAAACTCTTTCCCTCCATCCCTCCCACAGTGCCTATTAACACTTGAGGGAAAAGTTACCAATTCAGTTACCCTGAACACAAGCTGGTGTTTAACTCATTTTTTTCCTCTATGATCTATTAGGATTATTCAGCTTTGAGTACCACATTTAATTTTGTGTATCTTGGCTGTATTTAGGAAAGTACTGAAGTTTTTTTAATTTAGTGATCATTATTCAGCATTAGTGAATCCAGTAGATAATTACAGAAAAATTTCAACCACTTTTTAGACTAAAGCAGGCATTTAAGGTCTGGAACAAATCAATATTTAAAGTAAAATATATTCTAGACCACATACTTCCTTTCTTTTAGATTACAGATTAAAGAAGTCCCATTTTCAACAGATACCACTCAGAAATCCCAATCTAGAAGAAATTCCTTTCCTATTTCTCTTAACCTCAGTATTTTGTGCATCCTTAAGTCCTTATTTCCAAATCTCAAAGTTGCCAAATGCCACATACTCTGAATTTAAAGTATGCCAATAGAAAGGATGTTACTAAGAAAATAAATTTATAAGGAAGTATGAGACCATCTTTTTTAATGATCTGAAATCTAAGGAGGATATTCTGGCTTAAGCTTTTTTATTTTTCTTAAACAAGTTTCTCTACTTTTTTTTCTAACCAGAATGGCTTTAACACGAGGCATATTCAGTAGCAGTGAATTCTCTAACACGCTATAAAAAAGATGAACACCCTTAATGGAAAACCAGCTAAGGAGGGACTGAGAATATGGGGTAGGAGGGAGGGGAAAAAGTTGACTTTACCTTTTGGTACTTTAAAACTGAAAAAGTGAGCTTTAAAGTAAAAAAGCTGTTTAGCTATTGACATGCAGAAAAATCCAATAGATTATTATAAGGGGCAGGCATCCAAACTTAATGGCCATTAAGTATAGAAAAAAAGTTTGGCTTAGCCAATATGTACAGAAATTAATAAACACATAAAATTTACCAAACTGGCAAAGATTAATTTGTTGTGGGAACAGCAAAATTTATTGATGATAGAGTAAAATTTTTTTGTAGTCTTTATGGAGAGCTATTTGGAAATACTTCAGTATTCGTTATCTCTTGACGTAACCTAAGGAAATGAACAGAAATGTGTGAAAGTATTTAAGACAATCCACCAGAGGATTGTTTATAGCACAGAATTCTTTAATAGTGTATAGTTAAAAGTAACTTAAAAATCCAACAAAAGGGATAGGTTGAATAAACTGGAAGATCTACACTATGCAGTGAGTAAAAATAACTAAGAATAGGGGACAATGATTTGTGTGAAAAAAAGCATATTCAACTGCAGCCATATATGATCTTTGTGTGAAAAAAATGTGTACACACCCATAAAAAGGGGAAAAAGAGACTTAAAGCAATGTTCCAGTGTTAACTGGTTATCTTTAAGGATCAGGATTACAAGTAATTTTTGTGTTTTATACATTTTATGTTTCCTACACTAAACACACTGTGATGATCAGAGAATAAAAGTATTTTTTTTAACATTAGAATAAAAGTATTTTTAAATGGGGTTCCAAGCAACATAGGGTTCTGCCAGACTTGCTAACCCATCTGAGCTCAGAGCCCTCTATCCAAGTATGTAGCAGTCATAATAAATAAGATGTACAATCACTGAGGAATATAGTAAGTTTATTTGGATTTGGGACTCTGAATAGTTCTGTCTCGACTACCTGACCTCCCGCCACAACTCCTGGACCTAGAGGAACTCCGGCTGCGGCTGCGGCTGCGGCTGCGGCTGCGGCTGCGGCTGCGGCTGCGGCTGCGGCTCCGGCGGCTTCGGCTGCTGCTGCCCCGGCCCCGGCTGCGGTCCCTTTTTCTTCCTCTGCTTCGAGAACTGTGCCTTTCCCGGCTTTTGGACCTGTGTTTGTGGGATTTCTTCCCCCCATGACTACTCCTCCTTTTCCTCTCGGATTCCCCGTTTCTCCGGTAGGAATGGCCCGGCCCGGGGCTCCTCCTCCTCCGCGGCCTAGTGTAGTGTTCGTCGTGGCGGCCCATCCTCTCTCTCCTCTCCGAGTTCTTACCCAAGGAGGAGCCAGTCCGATCTGGAGACAGGTAGATGTCTCGATTAGCTTCCCAAAATTCATTGTTGGGATTTCTGAACACATGAAGAAAGTTGCAGTGTTTTCCTCTTGGACACTGCTGGATTTCAAATAAACCTGCAATGGCACAGTGAGGAAACGGCACTTACTGCTGGCACGCCATCCTTTGCAGAAGGTACACCTCTGATGTTCAGTTGGGATAGGACTATTTTCTCCCTATGTACAATTATGTCATAGTTCGGGTGCCCAGAATTTCAAAACTATTCAATGCTCTAACAAAGGGCACTGTAAAAAGCAACAAACTAACCAGAATGTCCCATTCCCCTACTGGACTATGGTGTGGAGTGCGACCAAACAAATGGAGATCACATTATTTTTTCTAGGGTTTTACCATCCTGCTGATTGACAGTACAGATCCCTAATTAACACTCAAGAACCAGCCCTGGGGGTCCCAGGGGCAATGTGCTTTGAGGGCACAGTGGTGGCTGTTCAGAACCACTGGCCGAAAGAGCCTATTGTAAGTGGAGGATCCTATATTTTCTTACACTTCAAGAAGATGACGACACTGGCCTAATGCTTTAAATTTACCAGGTGCTTTTAATATGGAAGAGTTTTGTCAAAGGTGAAACCTACTTGAACAGTTCAGAGATCTTTCTGGGATTGTCAACCTTTTCTTTAAAGCGGTAAATTCTCTAAATATGTAGAACAGGTAAAAGTGAAATGCCTGTATTTCCACACCCACAGAGTCCTCAACATAAGCTGAAACTAAAAAACTCTTTGAAGAAAACATACAAGTAAATCTTTGTAGGCAATAGATTATCTTAGACATGACACCAAAAGCACAAGCAAAAAAAGAAAAAATAGATATACTGGACTTCATCAAAATTAAAGACTTTTGTGCTTCAAAGGACACCATCAAAATGAAAAGACAACCCACATAATGGGAGAAAATATTTGCAAATCAAATCTGTCATAAGGGACCTTTCTGTAGAACATATCAAGAACTCTTACAACTCAATGATAAAAAGACTTACAACCTAATGAAAAAATGGGCAAAGTCTGAACAAACATCTCTCCAAAGATGATTTACAATGGCCATAATCCAACAATAAGGACACGAAAAAATGCTCAATATTGCTAGTTACTAGGGAAAATAAAGCTGTTATTTTAAAAATAAGTGAAATAAATAGCCTCCAATTTGAGGGAGTCAAACTCACCCTCAGAAGCACCTCACTGAAATCACACTGGATTCCCAGGAGCTGACAAAAGTAACCGCCTTCATAGAGAAAATAGATTCATCTCTTACAGCCCCCAGGCTTTAGACTTAAGCCTTGGTTCTTCTCATTTGCCAAAGCAAGGAATTCTAAATTCTTTTTTTTTCACCCTTCAATAAGTGCTTTTTAAGTGAGAGCATCCCTAAAGACCAAGTTACCAAAGACTGAGACTTTATAAATTACAGATTTTTAAATAAGAGGTTTTAAGCAGGTGAGCATAAGGCAAAGCAAAGGGTAAGGGAAGTTCTCCCCTGAGGCATGGGCAGCTCTTTGCTTCTAGGCACTTCACAACAAACAGTTCCGCTAAGCCCATCCAATAGTAATCAAAAAAGAAGGAGCCCTTCAAAACTGCTAGCTGCTCAAAGGACTGACTCATTTCCTGATTCGACAGCCGCTGTCTGATGAGTCAGTCTGACTGAATGTGCCCTGACCGGATTCTACAGCTATAATCAATCTCTACCGCACAAAAGCATGTATTTCAGGGATGGCAGGAAATGTTACAGGTAATGGTTTAGGTGGCAAAGATGACAAAAGATTCATTAGGGATAAAGATGGGGGAGGGGGACACAAAACATAGCTCAAGTGAGGGGATCCAATAACTAGAAAACATCTCCAAGATTGCAAGAAGAAGGTAGCTTCCCACAGACAACTTCTCAGGATTCCTGCAGAGCCCAGAGCTGAAGATGGGAAGACCCGGAGTTCTAGCACCTACTGTCTCGCCTACGCATTGTGACCTCAGTCACCTCATCTATAACTGGCACAAGGTCGGTTACAGATCTAAAATGTCATGTCCTTTATATCATGATCTCTGCTCATCTACCATGTGAGGCAAAAACTATGCTTTGCCCCTTTAAAATATCGCTTTTTTCCCTAAGAATATCCCTTTACATGACTGTGGAATACTGAGGGAAAATATCATCATGTTGCATTTTACCACAAATTGCCATTTTCCATCGGGTCACTGGGCAGAATTCGCACTGAAGCTGCCGTCCTGCGTACCATCGTCCATTAAACAGAGAAAGGGCTGCTTGGCATTCTTCTTCCCTTTAAACCATAAATTAAAGGATCCACTTTAGATGTGTAGAATTAATCCTATTGTTAATTAACCCTTTGATTTGTTTACTGTAGGACCACCAGTTTCACTGCTTTCGTGCTACCTAGGGAGTCCTCACTGCAGCATTTAAGCACCCAAGGCTCACAACATATTCAAAAACCCTTTTTACTAACCCTCCCAGAGGTCCTGATGCATGGAAATCAGCTTGAGTCAAAGCTTCTTAAACCAAAAGACCGGACCATTAAAAATGCAAGTGTTTTCCATTGTCAGAGCCTGTTCTTTCCCAGCTAGGATAGCTGTCCTTCTTTTTACAATGGTTAATTTAACCCATTAACCACAGCACGACGCAGGCAAAAAGCAAGATCAGCAGAAACGACATGCTAACTGCTCTTAGTGGGTCAAATGCACACTGAGATTATTTGGGGCTTCAATTTCTGGCTCTTTCGATTTATACATTTCTATTCTCTATTCTGGTTATCCCTTTTCAGTTTGTGTTTTAATTATTAAAATTACATAAGTAAAAAAATAACTATATTGCACAAGATTAAAAACTCTAAGTATACAAAGAATGAAATACAAATGTATTATTTTCAAATCCCTTCTGTATTTCTAGATCAGCTCTTAATATTTACACGTTTAAAAACACCATGCATATGAAAGCTATACATTTAGTGGAGAAATCCCAGACAGCAATACAATCACAACACTACACTGTGACAAAATGTAAAGTTTATGTTCATAATACTTACGATTGATACTGAACATACACATTGCCTCTCAGATGAGGTTCCAAGTTGCAGCTGACCTAAGGAGCAATGAAGAAGTCCATCATTTAAAAAAAACAAAACCTAAGGAAAAGAAGCCCTCCAAGTCATCAAATGCACTTTTTGTCTAGGCCAACATTTCCAAAAGTTGTCATCAGTCAAGATTCCAAAATCAAGATACTGCCCCAACCTCAGGTCTATTTAAGGCCCCCAATTATCTGATCCCTGTTGATCCTGACCCTTTTTTTCCCAAAGATATGAAATGTTTCACACATGCATAAAGACAGACTAGAAATCAGCCCATATATACATCACCCGGATTTAAACCTAACATATTCCATTTTTGACTAAGAATGTTTAAATACGTGAAACATGAAAGACCCAGCTGAAGCCCTTCCATCCTACTCTTCTCCCTCCTCCATCACACAGATGAGCACGATCCTGAGGTTGTGTATATCCTTCACATTCCAAACACAAACACACACACATATACATACACATAGACCTACCTACCTACACAGACACATACCCACAGCCATCCATACCCACAGACAGGCATTTACACATATAGCATACATGTACCATAAAATATATACATTTAATCTTACACTCGTGCTTTGTGTTTTTTTTTTCCTTGGTGGAGGGGAGCTAATTAGGTTTGCTTATTTATTTAACAGAGGTACTGGGGATTGAACCCAGGACCTCGTGCATGCTAAGCATGCACTCTATCACTGAGCCATACCTCCCACCATAAAATATATACATTTATTATGTACAGACATACAAAGAAGTGTATGTCTATTATGTATATATGGGTATACACACATTCATGTATTCATATGCGAAGAGACATGTATATATATTGATAATATACATTTGTACATTTGAAAGTTTTATATAAATAATGTTTATGCACATTCATTTTTTAAGATATAATCATGTAAACTTAATGACTCATTTTAAAGTACTATGGTATACATACTTGATATATCAAATTATCAAATTTATTTTGAACTCCCAATTTATCCCTTCCCACCCCCTTCCTATATGACCGAAGCACTGTGCTGTACACCAGAAACTGACACAACATTGTAAACTGACTAGACTTCAATTTAAAAAAATTTATTTATCAACTTCTCTAATGATGGATATCCAAGAAGCTTCCAATTTTCATCAACAAACGGCGCTGTAGACAGCCTCCTGAATGCATCTCTGCACAGCAAGACGTTGTCTAGCATGCGTGCCTGGAAGTAGCCTGCAGATTTGTAGGTCAGGTGCACCTTCAAGCTCGCTAGGTACTGACAAACTGCTCTCTGAAGTGATTTTACTAATTTACACAACCTCAGCACTCTTGGTATTAGAATTCATATTTTTTTTACCTAAGTGTGAATAATATCTCATTTTAATATGCACTGTTCCCATTACTAGTAAGGTTGAACATTTGGTCATTTACCTTCAAAAGTGATAAATCGGATTTGGTTTTATATAATGATATAAAAAGATCTTCAAATAGTCATACTAATGTTTAGCTTTTATTTTCAAAATGAATCTATAATTTTACATATTTGTTCCAGAGTATTATTATTAGAGCATCTCCAGAGAAGCAGGATCTGTACTGACTGACAGTTTATAACACCATCCCAAGAAGGAAGACTGAAAGGCCTCAGGGGGCCATGTCGGCACACCAGGGACCTTAGGGATCATTTAAGCCAGTGGTTCCCAAAGACCCATTATTAATTTTCCATGATGAATTTGATGTTTTGGCAATTTTCCTACTAAAAATTTACTAAACAGTTTTCTAATTATAACTGCCAATGTGATTAACATGAGCTTGGCTGATAGAATTCTCAACAAAAGGAAAAAATACACCGTAGTTAGCAGGCATGGCCTGTTGCAGATAATGGTGTGATTCCCACTAGGCAGTCCGAGGTTTGGAAAGCAGCCCCACCACTAACCTCCCAGGAGCAGTGTGCTGTAGGGACCCCACGAGGGAAAACACTCGTGTAGTCCAATCCTCGCTCTTCTGGGACAAGGGAGAGGCACGAACAGGTACAGGCCCATGTTCGGGAGCACAGGGCTACTGGACCACACCAACCCCTCAGCCGAGCTTCTCATGTGCACCAAGTCGTGGGTGGCCAGACACTTCTGCTTGAGTGTTTATTGGCTCTGCCGAGTAGTAGTGTGAAGACAGGGAAGTGCACGCAATGGAAGCAAAAGGTAAAAGGGAAAGAAAAATTCTGAAAGAATTTTTTTACATCTTGAAATCAGCAGAGAGGATAGCCTTGAATTTCACGAGTGCCGGGGGTTAGCAGTTGCTCTGTTCCTTGGCTGTTTCAACTTTCCACTGTCATTTCCCACTAACAGAAAAAAAAAACCCACTGCTTTATTCCTTTTTCCAAATTATGGGCCATTTCTCCCATCCTAACATAACAAAATCACTCAGCTTGGGATCTGATCAAATCAAAGACAGCAGGAGGCTTCCCTGTGTTAGGATTCAACCACTGGTCCAGGGAGCAGCAGCTACTACACCTGACTTCACTCTTACTTTAAGGAATGGTTTAAAATAACTGTAACCTGGAATGCCTCTTTTACTCCCTATGCTGCACACAAACCATGACTTTGGGAACACTATGTTCAGTATCGAGAGTATCCAGTGAATAAAAATAATGCAAAAAAAAAAAAAGGAATTAAGATTTACGTTCTTGGGTAGCTCCAGAAGAAAGAACATGCACTCAGGTGAAGTTGCAAGCAGGCACCATCAACACAAAACAGTAACAACAAATCGACAACCTCGGTAGGTGGAGTTAAGGGGAGAAGTGTCAAACTGTGCACACCATAGCTCTAGGGGCGATCGGACTACAGGAGGAGGGAGCGCGATCCCCATCACACACAGCATGTACGTGAACACTTGGACAGTTATCTGCAGAGGACCTTATGCAAAGAATTTATCTGCCAGAAAAAGAGCTGGACCATAAAAGTACTGAAAGATCTTTTCCCACGTAGACCTCAGAACCCAGGAAATGCCACACTAGTGTGTGTTCATGATTTTGTGCAGTACCTCTACCCTACTGGCAACGACGGGGTTGGAAAAGGGGAGAGAAGGAGTCATCACTCCCTTCCAACAACAGGCCAAGCACTGTGCCACCAGGCATCCCCACCAGGCAGAGACCCTGTGCCCTCATTTCTCGCCCCACTCGGTACTTCAGAGGGAAGCGAACCAGTCCTCTCCTTTGCGCGCACTGCACATGCCCACCTTGAACTGGATCACTTTTCCCACGTTCTTGAACTCAGGGAGCACGTCTTCATAGAAGTCCAGGAACTGTTGGTAGGTCTCCTCTTCACTGTACTCCAGGCTCGCGTCGGGGTCATAGTCGTCTCGTCTGCACTGCTCCATCCCAAACGTCGTAAACATGCTTTTAATAAGAAGAGTGGGACTCGACGTTGGGAAATTGTGTTTACGTGAACACCTGGGTACGAAGGAAAAACCGAAATTCAGTCGTCTAATGGTTAGAAGTTACACATGAAAAGCTCACTTGAAACTCTGATAAAGACTCAAACAACTTGGCTGTTTTGACTTAACTGTGAGATGATAAACCCCATTCAGACTTTAAATCTCAACTGTTCTAAGGCTGACCAATATACTGGATTTCATTGAAATTATTTCCAAGTTCATATGCCATTCAGCTGCCTTTACTGAAGTTCAGGAAGCTGTCCACACACGGAAGCCCGGGGAAGAGGAGGTGCGCTGGCACAGCAGACTGTGATGACAGGTGCACAGACACGCAGGCGGGACTCCAGCGATGGCAAGGACGATGCAGTCCTGGTTCCATACAACTGCCAACTAACCCAACGCTTAGAGGACAGGGGACTCAGAATTTTGCTAAGTGGAATGCATTTTATAGTTTTCATGGCATTTTTATATTATTCCTCTGATCCTTGCAACCTGTTAGGACAGTCAGGGCTAGAATTTTCTCCACTCTGAAAAAAGGAAACTGAGGCCTAGAGAAGCACACGTACTCAAGGCACATGGCTGGTGAGAGAGGATCCAAGAGGTCAAAGCTGAGAGTCTACGGCCTGTTTGTTATATGATGTGATATACGTAAGGAATTTTTTTTTAATGAAGGAGGTTGACCATTGTGAAGAACAATTTTCATTTCCCAGTTTAAACTGGACCAGGTTGTTACTGAGTAATTTTTTTTTTAATCTTTTATGACTTTACTCTCTTATTCACTTCCTTCTCCTAAAATAAAATGAAGGGAAAAAACGTAGTTCAAGATTCCAAATCATCAAAATTTTCATGATTAGATTTCTAGTTTAGAAATTGGTTAAGACAAAATTTTTAGAAAAAAAATCCCCAGAACTTTGGAAGAAAAAAAGCTGAAAAACAAGGCAAGTGTTGGAAAATAACAATGGCCCTGCAATGACTAAATGTTTACCTCATCCTCATGTTCTGTTGTCTGTAACATACATCTGTGCACCTAGTGAGAGAATGCAGACAGAATGCCTCGCACACACCATGCCCAGATCAGAAATGTGCAATCAGTGTTCATTAATGTGAGATTTTTTACTTTTCAAAGAACCCTCCTGTATTATTCAGAGACCATGTAATGAGCCCCATCTTCCCAAGTACAGGTACTCACAGAACAAAGATGCAACCTGGCTGGCAGTGTTAGCAGTGAACTAGACTTTTACAACTATGAATCACATACAGAATTAGATGAGAAACCAATTTAACAAGGTTAAAATTCTGTTCACAAGATTATTTTACCTGAATGAACTTGGCTATAGTACCTAGGATGTCAAATGAGCATTTGTGAGTTTTGGAACAGTGCCAAAGTCCCCATCGAGGGAAAATCCCCACTTGGGCTGGAGATAGTCCATATAATCTGAGTATATTCAAGGCCAGCCCTACAGCTCCTATGAAAAGCCAACTAAGACAAGAGGTACTTGGGAAGGCAACCTAAAGCTGTGGTACCAAGCCCATGCAATTCTCAAAATCATCTGGGAAGAAATGAGATTTCTCAGGTCCTGTCCCAGACCATCTGTTTAGAGCTCAAAAAGTGGGGAACCCATGTTTTCAAAGTAACTCCCACCTGGTCCTGAAGGTCCACTCTATTCGGGAAGCCCTGGTTTAGGCCATGCTATTTATCCATTAGGCAGATACTTGAATCAAGTAAGACTGCCACCAAATCATGCAGTTGGACATTACCTTAGCTGAAGGATGGTCAATAAATGGCATGGCTCTCCAAATGCCCCCTCAGGTATAGCTAGTTGACTATGCCTCTTCTTCTATTCTCAAGGGAGCACTCCAGGTACCCACTACCTCTGTCCTTCACAGAATCAAGTTACATGCTAAAGTAGGCTGCAATTATTTATTGAAGGTGTTTGTGAGAACCATTCTTATGAAAATTACATGTGCAACTGTCAATGAAACATCTATTAAAGTTATTAGCCACCCTTCTATTCAATGTCTTAGTACAGTATTCCATGGGAGAAACATGTAGACTCTGATGCCTGGAAAATCTTTGTCTTTCTAGAGATCCCACTCACTCTTCCTTTGTGGTAAGAGCTACATAGCTCATTTCTGCCTGCGATGTATAAAACTCCAAAGCCAGTGTATTGTACATTCATAATAACTCACTTCTTCTCCTTTCCTGGCTTTTGATTTCTTTCATTTCAGTCAACTTAGTGCAGTAGAAGGAAATGAAACTCACAGCATGGATAATTTTATGAATAAAATAAACATGAGAGACAACATACAGTTTCTCATTAAATACATATGAATTTGCCTATTCATATCCCCTTTTAGGATGAATAGGACATTAAGATATAATTAAATCTTTTCTTCTGCAGAGTAAAAAGTAATAATTAGATTTTGCCTCGATGGATTTATTCACCATTATGAATTATTTATCTACTTTAAGTTGTTCATTCATAAACAAGCCAAATTATAAAAATCACCATTGCCTAGCATATAGTTGCTATTTAAATACTTGCTAAATGAATGAAAACACTTAGTTATCCACATGAATGTCTTGTTTTAAAACCATTGATCCAAGAGGTAGGGAACATCTCAGAAGAGGGGCAACAGTAACAACATGAAAATAGGAGCAAACACTCAGCACATGCCATGTGTCTGGGGCATTCCACCTGCTTTCCCTACATTCACTCATTTCAGCTTCACAATCGTCTTAGAAGGGGGTACTATTTTAAATCCCCATTTTATAGACACGAAAACTAAGGCACGGAGGGCTTAAGGAATCTTCCCACACTGATAGCCGCTACAGCCAGTTTTTGAACCCAGTGTGTATTCCTCAATCTCAGTCTCAAAGAGTAGACTGAGAATGTGTAGTAGAATTTTCCTCTACTCACTTAGATCCTGTCTTTCACAGATATCCCTTTGGGCATGCCTGTTTTTAAAGCCTCTTTTGTGCACAGTGTTTGCCATTCAAAAATAAAGCCAGGCTGCTCCAGTCTTTTGAAACAGATTATTTCCCCATGCCAGCTGTCCCACATGGACTAATACAAGCACAGGAAGAAAACAAAAGCAAAAGGTCTTCAGAAAGCTGCGGAAGGAATGCAAAGGAAGCCCTGCCAGAGAACTTGACAAGCCCACCCAGGGAACAGGTACGGGGAGAGCAGGGGGCGCTCAGCTGGGGAACTGGAACAGCAGCAAGAACGTGGCAGCGCCTGAGTGTGAACATTTCAAACCCAAGCCTGTGCTGCTCCCAAAACGACAACTCAGAAACATCAACATTTTGAGTCACTTAACTCTGAGATGATAAATCAAAAGCAAAATTAGTTACCTATCTCCGAATCTGCAAGCTCCCGTTTTACTGTAGAATGGACAATTAGCTCGATCTTTCTCCATTATTCTTAATTCTGTGGGAGGTTCTGGGTTTTGCCATGTGGTGCCATTCTCCAACTGTTGAAAATAACCATGACTTTATTTGGTGTAAAAGTCCATGAAGAAATAAATGTTTAAAATGTATTGAAATACTGTGGTCAAAAATAAAAACAGATTCATTTAACAATATACACATTTAAGTTGTGACACACAATCAAGACTCTACAAACTATCGTGAGACACGTGTACGTCATTCCTGGCTCCTGGTCACTGCCCACCATCAGGCATTGCTATGGTTACCAGGAGCTGGCACCAAGGTTTCCCTTCTGTCCATCCGTTCTAAAAAGGGTCGAAGGACTCGTTAGGGAATCATCCCGCGAGAAATCTTAGTTACTCTGAATCAAGTTAAACCATCCATCTCAGGTAAGAATATGTGGCATTGGTTACACACACTTTGAGGACTATAAACAAGTCCAGGCCACAGGGGTGATTTCTGCTTTTGTTCATCAATTAACTTTTGTTGTTGCTGCTGTAAGTCACAGAGCCACAGATGTAATTCCCATATTCAGACATGATCTAAGTAGCTTACCACAAAATTAATATTACTCGAAGTATTGCTTTTAAACAAAGGTGCGTTGGTCTCAAATTCTTAATGAAAGGTTTTGAAAATACCTCATTTTCAGCCTGTTCCAGCATCTTCTGCACAGCTTCCTACAAATGGTGCAAACATAGGACTAATGAAAACCTCGAAGTCAGGTAAGTCACATCTGGTTTCTCTGGTTAAGAATCTCATGTGTAACAATTTTTTAAAAACCCATGCACACAAAAGGCTTCAGGTTCTAATTTGCTTTCTACAGCACAGATCTTCTGAAAAGCTTTCGAAAGACATACGGCTGAGAATATTTATTCAAATAGGACATTTAACAGCTCACACTGCAAAACAGAGTCTTCTAGTAGTTTCTGTAAGAGTAATATTTAGAATATTTGAACATATAGTCTATTTTTAAGATTAAGGTATTAGTGAATATCAAAAAACACAATGCTGGCTGAAACATCACAAACATTTAACAGATGCTGCATGATGACATGAATGGTAGCAACTGGAATTAATGAAAAACCTCAAACTTTCCAATAAGGCAAAGTCAGCCCCGCAATATGCCAGTACATTTTGATCTCCTTGGCATTTAACTGAGTTTTAAGTTATGTCCAACAGACTTCTCTTCCCTAGCTCCTTAAAGCATACATACGACTCCTATGTCTAGGTGCTCACTTGACTAACTCTACCCGGTCACTTAAGGGTCCTCAGTAGCTTAACGTGCTCAAGATGGAATTCTACTCTGCCTCCCCCCATCTAAATAATGTTCCATCTCAGTAAATGGTGCTGCCATCTGCCCACCTGCTCAAACTAAAAACCTGAAAGTATGACTTGAATTCCCTTTCCCTTCTGCCCTCCCCATCCTCTCAGCACCAGCTAGAGCCACAACACACTCCAAATCCATGTACTTCTCTGTATTAAGCACTTCTGTCATCCAGACCACCTCCTGTCCTGTCTGGAACAGCAGCCTTCTTCTAACTGGTCACCGTATTTCCACCCTTGCCAACTTGGTCACCAGTCCCCACCCCCACCACCCATTTTATATACAAAAGTTAGAATGGTCTGTTAAAGGTAAAGATATAAATTAGATGAAGTCACTCCCTGCTTAAAAACCCTTTAACAGCTTTCCATGACACTTTAAGTAAAATCCAAACTCCTTCAGACCCAGGAGGCCTTACACGATGCCCCGCCTACCCTCCTGACCTCTGCCCCACTGCTGCTGCTCTCTCCTTTGGTCTCAAGAAGTCAGGCACCCTGACCTCCTTTCACCTCCATGCTCAGGCCTCCTCCCTCTGCCTGGAGCCCTTCTCCCTGAAATCTCTGCACTCAGGCATCAGCTCACACATCAGCTCCTCCTCCGAGAGGTCTTCCTTGACAGGCACTCCAAAGAAGTACTTCCCTACCCCATCACTCTGTCACGTGACCTTCTTTCTTCTTACCATTTACCATTACCTCAGACGACTTAAATGATCTCTCTGCTAACTTACCATCCAGCTCCCCCATCTGGAAAACAAACTCCATGAGTGCAGATCTTTTTCACTGCCCTATCTCTGACCACCACAGAAGTACCTAGCTCATAGCAGAAACACAGACTGCATATCCCTTTATATATGCGTAGACTCAACTTCATTCTACCTCCTTCTCCTTAATGTCTCACCAAACTCCCTTTGAAACAAAAGCCTTAGCTTTTATTTGGTGCCAGAAAAAGTTCAATTGAAGAACATTCTACTGTTAAAATGGGAATTTATTACTCTCTAGAAAAAAAGAAATGACAAGCTCCAAACAATTTTTCTGTCCCCAAAAAACCCAGCATGATCTTGCCTCATCTGGAAAGTAGTACTCAAATAAGGGTGTTTAAAAATTTGTGCTGGAATTAACTGATGGCCTGAGACACAAAAAAAACAAAGGTTGTTTCTACCCCATCATGACTAGGATGTAAAAAAATGCATTTTCCCCCATGATCAGGTGATTACCCAATTTTACGCTATTCAAACGTAGCAATATTACAGAAAAGATACATCCTGATGAATCATTCAAGGAAAGATGAGCTGTGACATATTTGAAATAAATACACTGTTAAGGAACAGCAGCAAAATAGACCAAAGCAATGTTTAAAAAGAATCCTGGAAGATACAGAAGATATATACACATACCTTATAGATTCTTTTTTTAGTGAGCAACTATATGTTAGCTACAATTGCTTTTATAGCCAGTTAGAGAAGAAGTCAAGATTTAATAACAAAAAAAATTTCCTAATCCCTCACTATCCGAGTTTCTGATTTTTTCAATCTATTGGTTCTTGCTGACATGTCAAAAGCAGTGAAGTCTCTTACATACCAAATAAAGGTAGAAATGATACAAAATAGTATTCTCTAAATAAGTCAACCCATATACAACAAAACTTCAGAAAAACCCCATTTACTCTTGAGGGGTACAAAGTGTAAAGCAGAGGCCAGCTGCCTGTTTTGGTAAATAAAGCAATAAGGCTGTATGGGAACGTGGCCACCACTTTCCATTACATATCACCTACGGCTGCTTTCACAAGACACTGGCAGAGTTGGACGTTTTCAACAGAGACCATATAGACCATAAACCCGAAATATTTACTCTCTGGCCCTTTACAGAACAAGTTTGCCAGAACGTATAAAGAGTAAGACAGGTAGAGCTGAAGAACAGCCTTAATTTAAGGTATCTGCCACAGCACAGACCTAAAGAAGAGCACCCTAAGGAAACTCTAGTGTCTGTCTAAACTAAAAACATGACTCTTTCTAAAGAAGAACACAAAGCCCAAACCCTGATACGCCTACAGCATATTCTTCAACCCCATCCCCCGCCACATCTGCCCACTAAGAGGATACGCAGTATGCTTATCCTCCTGGGACGGGAATCACCTCTCTTTCTTTCTTCTCCTGCAGCTTCTGCTCCTCCTCTTCTCTCTCTTTTCTCTGCTGTTCTTCCCATTCTTCCTTTAACTTTCTCTTTACAGAGGGGGAAAAATAAAAATAAGAAAGGTAATTTTTTTTCAGATTCACTTTTTAAAAACATTTAACATATGAGGCAAATAAATGAAAAATGTTAACACTGGTAAAATAATCCTCATTTTTTAAAGTTCCAGGTATGTAACTCTTAATGGAAGTCATTTTGGTTAAATCATTAGTTAGTTAGCTCGTTATCTGATTAATACCATACCTCTTGTTCCTCCTGCCGTCTTCTAGCTGCCTCCTCCTTTTCCTTCTTTATTCTGAATTCTTCTTGTGCCTTCTGCTCCCGCAGCAACCACTCCTCATGCAATTTTTGCCTATTGATGTAATGATGTCATGAAACAAAAGAAATGGGCATTAATCTACAAACACACACACACACACACACACACACACATATGATAGCAAAATGACATTTGGGGAATGATGAAAGGATCACGAAAGATATTTTTTAGAAAGAAGTTAAGTAGGGGTAAGAGGACCAGAGGATATGAGTAGTGATCTTAGAAAAGCACTACATTTTAGCAGCTATCCTCCTAAGAGGGAAACAGCATAAAGTCACTATTTATACATTCCCTATCTGTAACTTCTTTACACAAAACAGTGACACTTCAGCTTTCCCTTTAGGTTGGCCACAGTGATGTTTAGGTGCCAATAAAGTGAGTAACAAGTTTCAAAGCAACATCAAGCTTTTCAAATTTACAAAGTATTAGCCTTTCTGTCCTATGCATTTTAAAAGTGTCTATCACAGGATTGCAGCATGATGAAAATCTGCCATAAACCCTTGGACTGCTACTCTATAGTTAAGAGACTCCTGTGGTTTGCACCAAGCACCTAAACCGCTGAGAAGAAAAAAAACTACATCATGATCACGTCTTTAAAATAAAGAAAGCTACAGGTTTTAAGAAAAGATGACAAGGAAATACAAAAACAAATTATTAGGTGTCTAGTTTATTTTTTAAAAATGACCAATTAGAAAGAGGGATCTTATCTTAAAATGGTGTCTCAAACATCCAATATCACAAGTTCCTAACTTAAAGATGGGTTATATTTCAAAACTTTATAAGCCAGTTGAGTGTTTAAAACCTAGATTGCATTTTCCCCACTAATTTTGTAAAAGGAAAACGAAGTATGAGAAATTGTTCTATATTATTTCAGGGACATTAGGAGTTAAATGAGATTTTATGTCTAGCTTGGGGACCAGCCACAATTTCAAATACTTTATGGCAAAAAGTATTCTGTTTCCAACTAGAGATTCCAGGCACACATCTTTCATCTCTGGTAGAGACTGCCATATTGCATATGTCAATGTTCCTGTGTATGTTATAGGTTTATGTAGATGTTTCAGTGTGTAGAACTCTTATTCATGAATCTTTTGAGGAACATATTAATTGTGTATAAGCTGAATCGAAGTGTATATAGATTTAAGACCACAAAAAAGTAAAATCTTACAAACTTTAAAACGTAATAACTTGGATATAATATTGAGAACTATAGAACTCTGGGCACATAATTCTGTCAAACCCCTGCACTAAAAGACTTGAGCAAAGTCTGGCATGGCTTTTAGCAGCATAAGGCTGTGTCCCTAGGATGACCCCAGCACTACCCACCTTGCTCTCCCTCACACACACTCACTAAAATGTCTGCCTGAGGAAGCTCAATTCTGCCAGGAAAATGGACTGTTCGCTCTAGCCAACACCTGCCTTCCCTTTCTTAGAGCATTACTACAAGTGGCTCATAATTGTGAATATGTGTCTCTTGTAACTCATAAGGGTCTCTCTCAAGGATCTGAGAGCCACTCCGGGCAAATGTAATCAGTAAGAAGGATGAGGCCTCTGCTGCCCAGGCCCTGTGGGAGGACAGAGCCCTAACTCCCCACTAACAAACACGGCTGCCTAGTCACATTCATAGGGAACAACTCTTCGTACTGTTCACCTTTCTCATTCTCCCTTTTAAATGCCCAAATCGCCTCTGCACAAACGGGAAAGGAGCTCAGCTCTTCCCCTATTGTCAAGACTTACTGAATAAAGTCGGTTCTTGCCCCTTTAATGTCTAGCTGTGTTTACCTCTGACACTATACACCTGCTTTGAAGTAGTACATAAAGTCATAGAGCATTCTCACATAATTTTCCTGCTTTTCAACAACGAAGTATTACACAACTCTTATAAGAATAAACAAAAGCCAACAGAACACAAACACATGCATATGTGATTTAATAGAAGCATCTCAAATAAACAGGAAAGCAAAAAAATATTACTTCCCTGTTTCATGCTATACCCATCATCTTCATCATAACAGAACTCTAATTAAGAACAGCCAGAGTTATTACAACACCTCCTAACTGCTCACACTATGTTAAGCACTATACACTTACCACCTCATTAATCTCATTTCATCTCCCCAATTCTATGCAGTGGGTACTATGATTGATTTTTTTTTATCACCATATTTAACACAAGGAAATTGAAGCTTAGAGAGATCAAGCAACTTGAACACAACTAGTAAGTAGCAGGGCCAGAACTGGAATGCAGACCTGGCTGAATCCAACTCCATTTTCCCAATCACTACTACTTTTTTTCCTTCAGGCATTTTGATAATTCCACCTATTTATGTGCTTAGGTAGAGAACAAGAATTAATTACAAGAAAGGAAGCAACATTTCCAGTGAATACACTAAATAGTTAAGAGTGTCTATAAAGTTTTTTCTCCTTTAAAAACTTACTTTTTATTGTAGCAAAATATATACACCATGAAATTTACCATTTTAACCATTTAAGTGTACCACTAAGTAGCATTAAGCATATTCACATCATTGTGTACCACTTAAAAAAAATTACCCCCTGAAAAACTCTTAAAAAAAAAAAGCAGAATATTTTTGTCATCTTGGGATAGGGAAGGCCTTTTTAAGTTAGACACCAAGGCCAGATATCATGATGAAAATTGACGACGTGGAAATCAAATTATGCTAAGTAATGCCGCCGCAAGCCAAGTCAGGACTGATGACAAATGGGAATATACATCACATACAACAGATAAAGGATTAATACCCTTAATCAAGTAATAACATTGTTTACATAACAAACTTAAGAAAAAGAGAAAGAGAGAGGTGCAAGACTTAAACAACTTACAGACAGATAATATATAAAAAGATACTCATCCTTACTAATCAAGAAATATACAGTTGAAACAATGGAATATAACTTTTCCCTATGGGAGTTTTAAGAACCGATAATGCCTAGTGTGAGGGAAAGTACGGGGAGATGGGCACCTTGATTCATTGTTGGAAAGGCTGCAAACTGCAAACCGGGATGCCCGTTCTACCTGCCCATCTACATTTCACGTGTACTTGTCCTCTAGGCATCTTCCTAAAGAAATAACAGGACAATCACCAAGGATATATAATCATGGATACTCACTGCAACTTTTTATATAAAATATAATATATACTTATATTAAAATAGTAAAAAGCCTGAATGTAAATTAACAGTAAATAGTAAATTAATAGTACATGGCAAGTGAATGTTATTTAATAGTAAATAAGCTGATGTCCCTCAGTAGAGAACTATAAATTATGAATAAAAAATAAATTATGCTACATCCATACAATGGATACTATGTTGCCACTGAAATGATTGAATTAGATCTCCACATCAACACTGAAATAAATGTCTTACATGGTCAGCAAAAAAAGCAATTTATTGAAAAATACATATAAATATCCCATGACAGAAATATACATGTATCTACAACTTCTTTCTTACGTTCTTAGCAGTGGCTATCTCTGGGTATGTTGAGTTTACTGAAGTCCTTTCACTTTCTATACTTCTTAATTATTTGGACTTTTTTTTTCCAAAAACATTTACCAATTAGCAAAAACAGTAAAAATACTCAGGGTTTCGTTTTTGTTTTTTTGTTTCGAAAGACTACATCTCATTTCAGCCCATCAGCTAGAGATTTAAACAATTTATCCAGGGTATTTTTTAAGACCTACTGTGTAGGTCTTAGATATTAGGAAGAAGATATTAGGAAGATATTAGAAGAAAACCTGTACTAATGAGAAGAGACTTCTAACAGTCAAGTGAAATAACTGGGTTCAAGGAAGCGCTTCAATCAGTGCTGACCTCTCTCCCTCCAACAGCCTCTCTTCTTCTAGTTGTTGTTCCTCAGTAAAAGCATCCGCTGCTGCCTCCTCCTCCTTCTGTGAGAGTCCTGAGGGAATCGAAATGTTTCATTACACTATCTGAGTATTATGAAACCTTGGTCAATAATTCAGGAAAAACGATGTACGATTTTTCATCTTCACAATTATGGTACAAATCTGTTTTCAAAACTTTCTAATAATAAAGGGTCCCCACTGCCCAAAATGGAACAATGTGAACATCAAAAAGAACAATAATGGTAGTAGATAACACATTAAACTAAAAAAAAATGTACTGATCATTCCACAGTGATACCCCAAAAGACAGTGGGGCGTGGGAGAGAACATCCATCTTTACAGAAGAATGGCAACTAAAAAATGTAGAAAGATTTAAGTGAAAAAGTCCTCACTTCTGCAGGGAGGAACTAATTGTTGGGAAGAGGATATTTATTTAGCTATCTCAAAATATCAGTCCACAGATGATTACTAATTACAAAGGAGGAACTATCCTTTACTATGAAGTGATCAGATTGGCAACACTTTGACCACCCTCCTCCACATCCATGGTTCCTCCATATCTGCTGTTCTGTACCCTTGGATTCAACTAACTGCAGACCATGTAATATTATAGTATTTACTATTTAAAAAATCCACATATAAGTGGACCTGGGCAGTTCAAAACCCATGTTGTTCAAGGGTCAACTGTGTATCTAAATGTATTATACACATAACTATATATGGAAACATACTACAGTTTTGCACCTTGCTTTTTAAACTTCATGTAACTTTCATTTTTGATAAGGCAGATCATTTAAGCAGCTCATTTCAGTTTATTTCAAGTAAAAGTGGGTGCTAAATAGGTTGCCTGTAATAGAGGTGATACTCCAGAAAGTTCTATCAATCATTTGCCAACTCACTCTTACAGCAATTCTTACAGAGTATCTCTATATTCTATCCTTCTGGGTAATGTTTGCCCATCCAACATGTTCTACAATGAACAGCACTGTTTGGTAGACCACAGTATTCATGAAGCACTACTAAATGAAGAATTTAGTTGGAGTAGGCCAAAGTAGGGATAGTTGTCCAGAGACAAGTGCTTAGTCTTTGATTTGCCATTAGCCACATACAATCATGAGCTGACCAATGAGCTGCATCAAATGACTAAAATGCCAAAGGACACTTCTACTTGCTTCTCCACAAAGGCTCACTCCAAGCACCCTTTGCAAAGTTAAAGGGGAAAAAAGTCAATGCAATACAAAAAACAGCTATAGGATTTAAAACAGGTAAAGAAAAAAAGGAAGAGTTTAAAAGGGGGGGGAGCATATTACAAGAAAACAGGTTAACAAAGTAAGGGAGCTGAGAACTTTAAGGGGGTTGGAGAAATCACTAAGAGCATCAATAACTCCAATATACCCTGTTTTTCCTTCTATCCCTGATGCTTTATCCTGCCTCTAATGGACCAATTTTGAATAAATAAAAAAAGAGATGCTAATACAGGCTGCAGGTAAACATACTGCTCCTTCCATTATAAATATCTCAAGTATTGCTACTAAAATAATGACTAGGCAACTCCAATGTAAATAAAACCGCTATGGCTATTTTTCTCAAGGCCCAAGAATCCTGGTTACTTGAGGCCATGGTCTGTGCACTTAAAGAACTATCTAGGATGATTGAATAGGTAGATTCTAGATAATATGTATGGCAACCATTATAACTCAGTACTCCTGTGTAATTTTAGTGCTTCCATCTGCATTTATAACTACTATATAATTTTATAATTAAGTTAGTAGCACTAATTTCATGAAACAGGCTGAATATACTAATGTTAGATTTTGCCATGTGAAGGTCAAATGACACCATGGCCAGCAGAGATAAAGGTTCCACAGTATTCTAATAGGAAAAAAACTTGATAACCACAGGGCAACAGTAGAAGTGGCATTCCAAACCCCAATCAGTACCATATTCATGCTGTAAACATCTGTTTCCCATTATCCCTAACATTATATTAATGTAGATTTGATGTTTTACTGGCTGTGTAATTTCACTTGTTTTGTAATTTTTAAGTATTTTATAATATTTATATTTATAATATGTACGAGTATGTTTATAAAAATGTTATTAGTTGAGTAAGTTTCATAACTAGTTTTAAGCACATATACTTAAATAACAACAAAGGATTTGTTAAATTAGTGAAGTCTGAAAAAAACTTCCAAAATGTCTGAAACCCTCAACTCCTGCTGGTTTTACAAAGAAAAATATTCACCGAATACTTACTATGTGCAAGGGCTGTACTAGCTGCTGTAATTCATGATGCCCGCACCTTAATATTAGATACTTTGTATCTACTTGTAACCAGTGGGTGATGATTCACCGTGACTTTCTTCCGCCTCAGTAGTACGTTAACACTGTTCTTGTCATGGGTCTAACAGAACTTTTAGGGAGGCCATGGCTACATCAGTTCTTTATGAGATACAGTAATTGGCTTCCTTCTGACACTGGGGCCTAAGTTAAGACGGGAGTCGGGGGAGCAATTTCATACAGAGAAAACACGATGAGTCTGTTACCTGAGTCTCTCAGTCGAGCGAGTTCCTGCCGACGTTTCTTTCGTTTCTCCTTCTTCAGGGCGGCCCTGTACTTTTTGTGGCTGGAAAAGACAAAACAGACACACTGTATCGTCAGTGGCCGCACCTGCAGCGCTGCCTGAGCTCCCCTCTCCTCCGCACCCAGTGACAAGAACTCATTCGGGTGCTGGGGAATAAAATCTTGTTTCCCGTCTTTTAATTTCAGAACATGCTTTTACCATCGCCTCGCCGTCCGATGCCCAGACAGCAGGACTTCTCCATCCCACCACCCGTTCCGCTCCCCTCCTCGCCTCCCTGAGCCCACGGGTGCCCGTTGACAGTCGGGAACGCGCTTAGGAAGGGATCGAGCTGCCACGGTGGCTCGCTTGCTTGCCCCAGCTCCCCTTCCCTTCCTGCCTGCACATCCTCCATGCCCAGCCTTGGTCCGATCGGCCCCTTTTGTCGTCAACTCATATCCCTAAGCCCAGCATACCTCAATTTCTCCGGGAACATCATTTGTCCGGGCGCCGCCATTTTCTCGGCGCCGCCACGCCCCCGGCCCCCCAACCGCGCGCGAGCCGGCCGGAAGGGGCGGGCTTGAGGGCGTGCTCAGCCGCGCGCGGGCGCTTCGCGGCCTCTCGGGCGAGAGGGCCGGGGAGCATGCCTCCGCCCCGCCTGACCAGAGACGGAAGGTGGGAGATAGGTTGTTCGTCTTCCAATACTCTGCGCAGCTAAATGTCTCCTTCCCGAAAAACCCTCTGGGGCTCCTACCCTGCCCTGTAAGTAATTCTTCCCTCCTAGCGCCCCCCCTCCCCCAGTGCGTTATCACTACCTCTCCTCACATAGTGGGGTGTCTTGTGCCCTGGAAGTTAAAGTCACAGTTCTCCCTCTTTTCTCCTCATCCATTCACGAAGCCTCATCCCACACTCGCTGTTCGCCTTGCTTTCCAATCCGAGGCTCCTCCTCCTTCTGTCGTTCTGCCTATCAGCGCCTCAAAGCTCCCCACTCCGCTCCCTTCTGTTTACACCTGCCAGCTCTGTCGGCGAATTTAACTCCTGAGGCTACAGAGGTGCAACTTCTGCTTCAGAGGAATTTACAGTCTAGAGGCACAGAAGGACCAACACATAGATAGATTAGATAATACGGTACAGGCAACTAAGTTTACTTAACATAGTCCACCTGGGGATTCAAGAAGAGCTTTCTGATGCCTGAGTTGAGTTTTGAAGGCAGATGGCCTTAACTCAGGTGAAGGATGGATTCAGTTGCAGGTAAATCCGCATACGCAAAGACACTGAGAGACGAAACAATGGAATCTGCCAGAACCGCGAGAATTTTGGTCTTCGAATATTAAGGGCAGTTCGAGAGTATTAAGGAATACAGCGGTGGAGGGGGCTGGGGCTAGGTTATGGAGGAGGGCCATTCCAAGAAGCTTTAATTATGCTCTTTAGGCAACAGAGAACCATTGAAAGATTTTAAGTTGAGGCTTGTTGTGGTCATATTTGTGTTTTAGATAAACTACTCTGGTTTACAGTATAAAGTATACAACTGGAGTGCCGCAGTCTCGGTAAGAGGTCACAAGGAATTAAACTGGGGCAATGAGAGTAAGGGATTGAGAAAGCAAAATCAACCCTGCTAATAATTAGACTGATATACACATACAAGACCAGGGACAAGGCCAGGAAAAAAATGTTTCCTCCAAGGGCATGTTGCAGCTGCAAAATGATTAACAACCCTTATCTTTTGATAGTTGGATAACTTCCCCGACTTAGTTTTGTTCCTCTCTCCTCCAAATCAAGGTTACTGAGACACCCAATTACTAAACTGCCCCTGCTTCCCCTAGTCCCTCCTTTAAGTGATTCAGCAGAAGCCCAAACTCTGCATGAACTCTGCCCTTCTCCCTCTTACAAAGACACTTGCAGGAACACGCCTCCAAGTTGACCTTGTCCAGCTCAGTGCATCAGTAATTAGGGACATAGACTTTGGAGTTGGATGTACTTGGAAACTCAAGCCTTGCCTCTCTGATCTTGAGTAAATTCCTCATGTGTAGTCTTCAGTTTTCTCATCTGTAAAACTCAGGGGAATGCTATATGTTGTCATAGTGCCTGGCAATAGTTACTGTCCCCCAAACATTCGCTGTTATTAACAGCAGTAGCATGGTGAAAACTTCCCAGCCCTCTCAAGAGTGGGTTAGGTACTGGTCCTGCAGGTGCTCCCAGCGCAAGTATTTCACCTTTTATACCTGCCGCACTACATTGTACTTTGTGGCCTTCATAAGTCTGCCTCTTGCACTAAGTTTCAAACTCCTTAAAGGTGGAGACTTGTACTCCTGAGTGGCACAAAATGTAGCTGGAAATCTCCAGTTTTGCTGATTCCTGAGACCAGGACTTATGCTGAGAATTGCTGCCATTCTGAAAGCATCAGTGTTTGGATTGCTGTAACATTTCTTACGAATCAGACCAGACTTTCATGTCAGAATAATAAGTAAGAATGTCTTCTAGGAAGATACTCCTACTTAAAAAAGAATACATATTTAGATTTTATTCTGATTTAGAAATGAATGTAAATCTCCTTTTACAAGAGTTAGACATTTATCTTCCACAATTAACCACTGAATTCATTTTTATGAACAAGCTAAAGCCAATTCCATTTCCAAACTACAGTTACCATCATTTGAATTCAATAAATCATAAGATAAAAATGAGGTAGTTAAAAATTTAATGCAAAGATACATTCTATTATGATATTCTGATAAACAGAACAAATTTATCTTACTTCTGAAACATATTTTAAAATTTTTTCTAGGTGCCTGAAATACAACATCTACATATTCTCAAATATGTATATTTTGGTTTAATCCCTCTGTGTGGGAATATGCCTAAATTTTTATCTTACATTGTCAGTAGAAAATAGCTGATTATCTTTAAAAGGTTGAAGAAAATATTTTACATATGCAAATGATGAAATAGGTAATGCTATTATTAAATAAGTCTTAGTTGTTGTAAAATGACCAAAGAATGATCCATAAATCTATTTTTCATTTATTGCAAGCATAAAGGGAGAGCAAGAAAAATGTTTACTCTCTGAATGCCAGATTGGGATCCTTTCAATTAATTTGTTTTTTCCCTTGCTCTAGTAGGACAATGGTACTAGGACTCATTGAATGGTCAATGCAGAAATTATCAGGAAAGAATATTTCATTTCTCACCTATCATTAATTTCAGTACTAATCACCAGATTTATTCAAGGACATACAGTAGGGTCTTAAGTCCTCTCCAGCACTCATTGCTATGCCAAGGACTTTATATATTTTCCAGATTACAGTTATAACTTAATATGTATTCATAACTATTTTACCTTGCTCTTTTAATATGAAAATGCATGCAAATGTATATTTGTACAACTGATTAAAAGTTTTCTTTGGAGGAAAGAACTATCCAGGGGTAGTTATTCTTTATTCATTTCCTTATTCAATCAGTTCTTCTGCAGTTATTAGTGAATACAGTTATTCTTTATTCAATCAGTATTCTTACTGATTCTTTTTTTACAT